GGCTGCAATCTCTTGCTCCCTCCTCATCTGCTCATACCAACCTTTGAAAGGCATCTGGGCTCGCGTCTTCAGGAACAGCCGCCGGCTGCCAGGGACCCTTTCCTTCCGAATATGGTAGCCCAGGATGTTGCACCTCTTTGCCCTGCAGCTGAGGCACCGGCCCTTGTCAAAGGTCTGCATGTCTTTGCACCAGTAGCCCTTGATATGCTGGTTGTTGTGCCACAGGGAGTCGATGAAGAGGTGGACGGACCTTTCGTGCGCACACTTCACGGTCTGAGCCAGACCTGCACAAAAACAGGGCAGCAGGACCAAGCGCTTCCACGATCTCTTGTTCACAGGGAATGGAAAGAGCTCCCAACCTGGTCTCTTCTCCCCCAGCACTCTGCTGCCATGTCCCTCTTCTGACAAGCCCCCTCCTACCAGCACCAATCTGAAGGACAGAGCCAGCTATCTACATCCCAGGGATGAGAACAAACCACCCGCTGCTACTCTTGAATCATTCCGTCAGAAGAGCCAGGAGACAGACTGCAAGGAAGATGAAGACAGGACCCGATTTCAGCAATCTTTTATGATATGGCGCCCTGTGGGAAGCCAAAATTTGGCATTCCCAAATGAATCCTCTCAATTATGGATTGTCTCAAATTTGCATCCCCTCAGGGAACCACCTGCACCACCCTAAATCTGGCACTGATGAAGAGGAAGGGCTACTTGAGGAACTTCAGAACTTTTGCCTGCAGGGAGAACTTCCCTGGGACCCCATCCGCTTGGGAAGGGCAGCAGCAAGGCAGAGGCTCTCTCATGCTAAGCAGCAGGGGCAGCAGCCAGAAGTGCAGTCCTCTCCCTCTCTTTGCATCTTGGGAAATGCCGGGCTCTAATGGCAGAGGCAGAAAAATCCAGGAAGATGGGGGGCAACTGGTTGGCAGGCTGTGTTCTGTTTGTGGGCCATAAGACATACAAGACTGAGTGAGGGGAACAGCAGGAGAGAAGGCAATAGGAATTGGGGACAGGAGTGCTACTGGGACATTGCCACTATGGGGACCCTTAAGCTCTTTCAGCTGATGCTTAGAAGCACTAAGGACAACCCATCCTGTTCTCTTGCTTGGGCCTCCCCAAGGCACATCCGCCTATAAACTTTGGAATTCAATCCATTTCACTCAAGAGAAGGGAAGGGGCTCTTTCACACATTTTGCATGAAGGGGGCTCTGTTCCTCAACAGTGTCAGCGACATTAAAACTGTCAGCCTTTAATATAATAATAATGTCAGGGGTTCAGGAGCAGAGGCAAGGGCAAGGGAGGAAACAGAGAGCGAGGGGGAGGAGGCAGAAGAAAAGATGAGTGATGACGACGACCCGAGATCTCCGAGTCTTTCCAGTGAATCAGAAGATTCACAGAAAGGAGCACCAGTGGCCAGGGCAAGGGGGGAGCCTAGGGGGACGCCCCAGGAAGATAGAGCCAGAGGGGACTCAGAG